AATCTACTGCGAGCATCACCGCTCCCTCTCCCGCCGTAATGGCGCCAACTCTCAGAAAGCGGTTTCGGAGTCGGAGCTCCCAAAACCTAATCCGATCTTCGCTCAAGATTGGGGAACGGATTCGGATCCTAAAAGGGGAAAGGTTCCCCGTAATGTCAATCCGCTTCTGAGGAGAGAGAATGACGAAGGTTTGGAGCTTCGATCACCTGATCAGAGCTCGGATCAGTCAGTGGTGCTAGCGGTGGTGGCGGAAACGGAATCGAAATGTGAAAAACTCAATTGTACTCTGAATTCACTTGTGAGGAACAAGAAGAGGCGGAGGAGAGAGAAAGAAGAAGAATTGAGAAAAGAGAAGAAGATGGAGATGAGCGAAGAGAGAGAAACTGATGCGGATCCGATAACGGAGGATTTGTTGAGGATGGCTGTAAAGAGGCAGATGGAGAGGAGAGAGGAGAGAGAGGAGAAGAAGAGGAGAGAGGAAAGGGAGGTGCAGAAGAGAAGTGAGGAGAAAATTGAGGTTAGGAGACATCTTCGTAATGGAGTGATGGCAATTTCATCTCCGGTGAATAATTCGAGCAATGTGGTGCAGATCATTGATAGGAAGATAGGATTAGAGAAGATAGGATTAGGGTTTAATGAGGGTTCTTCCTTCAAGAGGCGATTTCGGTCGAAGAATGCAGAGCCTGAACCTATTGGAGTGGTTAAGGTTTTCTGAGTTTACTTACTTTTTTACTTTGATTTTGTTGTTCTTTGTGGTAAAGTTTGGTTCTTTTTTGTATTCAGAAGCTCGGTAGGGTCTTAGGAAGGAGCAAGAATACTTGCCATGGACGCGGAAAGAGCACAAACTGCAAGAGGAAAGGGTAATGTTCCCAAATTTAAGACTAGATATTTAGTTTGTTTATTATTATTTTGGTGTGTTGACTATGTCTGAAAACATACTGCATTCACTTAAATTTGATCTCCAATACTTTCCGGTACTTAAGAAGTAAATATATGTTGTGTTTAAGTAAGGTTAAACCTGAGTATTTTATACATGAATCTATTAAGTTTTTGACCTGCTAGACAGATTGAATGTTGATTGAGGATACTTATAGTTATAGATGATGTTATTATGGTATCATTAATCTCCTAGTGTTGACATAAGCTGAAATTTACTAGCTTTTTGCATATCATATAAATTATATGTGATGACTAGTGTTATGATGATTGATGAAGATCCGCGAGTTTGTAATTGGACATATGTCATGTGAGAGCTTACATAAGTGTAACGTCATAATAGATTTTAGCAGCTTTTCCGGGTATACTAAGTTCAGTGACTTCTGATAACGCAATGATAATTGAAGCCGATGATTAGAAAACGGGTTAATTACCCACATGATGCACGGAACTTATTATTATTGTGTTTTTGCATCTGTAGTATTGTGATATATCAGTTTGACAATTATTTTCTGCTTTCAATCTAAAAGTTAATACAATAAACTAGATATATTACTAAAATAATACTTACAGAACGAGCAAGATAACATGGTAGTATTTTCAGAACCAAACTCTTGGCTAAAAGATATTTTACATCAATTTCTATAGAATAAAAGATGCTTAATTTACATTTCCCTGGAAGAGAATGTATTTACTAATAGGGAAAAAAAACTGTAGTTTCCAAACAGAGAATGTATAGGAAACAAAGAATTCATAATGAAGTTATAATTTATAAATGAGTGATTAATGTCGGGAAAGTTGGAAACGTTTCATATTAGTTTTGGATGGAGAAAGCATAGAGAATAGAGAAGGGCAGAAGGCAAAATGAAAAAAATTGGTAGAAGGGAAGATGGAAAGTGACATGCACAAATAATTGCCAGTTGTCACGTTTTTGCATCCAGTGACAGCTGTTTTCGTATGAGAGTATAGATAGTAGAAGAAGGCATAATAACTTCCTTAGTTGTAAGAACTTGTTAATGTAGTATCAAGTCGTGAATTATGTACTAAACTAGGGATGAAACATCACCTTTTCTGTTTGGCTCGTTGTGTTCCTTAGAATAAAGTTAATTTCTTATGCAAAATCCTGTCAGTTTCTGCTTTAAATATTTTCTGTCCAGGAACTAGGAAGACATATTTCTTATTGAATGTGCTTATAAAAGCAAGCAAGGTAGATCTCTACCTTGTAATTGACCTTCTAAGTTTCATGGCATGACCGTGGCCCTTGGCTAGGAATTTGTTCTCCATGGAAAGATCACAGTGGTAAAGCAGCTGTTATCCCTGTCTTTGTCATCCTCCCTCCTTGCCATTAAGGTGATGACTTTGGGCATGGCCAGCTCCCATAGTGTGGCAAGTCAAAAAATAGAAGGATGATTCCCAGCCGTAGAGATTAGGACATACGTTTGGTCTACTTTGGCAACCTCATTTCATTTCATGAAATAACGTCTTTGCACATGGCTTGGCTTGTAAACAATGTTGTAAAAAGCGGCGAAAACTATAAAAAAAATGGAAGCACCGCATTTTCGCTCCGCTAGCCCTAAAGTGGTCCAAACCGGTCGAGAAGCGGCTGAAGCGGCTTTAAGTGGTTTGAGCACCAGTGTTAAGCGATTGGATCACTATCCATGGTTTTCTTGCCCATGTTTACTTGGTTTTTCCTTTTTTTAACTATTTAATGTTAGTTTATTACATTGTAATGTGTATGACCTTTTTTCTGACTATTTGATGTTAGTTATTACATTACAATGTGTACATTGTTTAACGTATTGCATGGTTTAGTCTACAGTTTGTTCCATAGAAACCACCTTAAAATATGGTAATTATGCGGAAACCACCTTTCATTTTCAATTTATACATAAGCCATCTTTAACATCTTTTTTTTTGGCAATCGACCACTTCCCGGTGGAAATTTTCATAAAAACAAAATTAGCTATAAAAAACGAGGCACGTGACTCTGTGTGTGTTTAGAACTTGTTAGAATACAACTCACGTAGTTTGAACTTGAAATTTTTAAGCTTATTTTTTATTTTTTAGTGAAATTTTGACTTGGAGGTAGTAGATAGCAAAAAAAAAATACTTGAAAGGTCGTTTATATATATGAATTGAAATTGAAAGGTGGTTTCCATATAATTACCCTAATTTAAGATGGTTTGTGGGGGGGGGGGAATCTTTTTATCTAAGTAGTGTTACGCATTTATTTCATTCTTAGGATTTCTCTATAAATAATCATGTATTTATTTGTATAATTTTTTTTAGTTTTTACCTGTTTATAAATTTTAGATTTTCCATCTATTTTTTTCTTTTCTTTTCTTTTTTCTTTTGAAACTTTTGTCCCTATTCAAATTAAAATAAAATTTTGACTTGGCTCCTTTTTCCGCTTAAGACCAAAAAGCTAAGCGGCACCTTGTTGCTTTGCTCCGCTTTTTGCTTACTGCTTTCCACAAGCTTGCCTGTAAACCATAAAATTTTAAACCATGGTTTATTTGAAGCGAACATGGTACTTCTAACCCATGGTTTAGGAGCTCTAAAATCAATGGAACCATGATATGGGAAACCCTACTCTGAGGAATTTTTCTGAAACCATGGTGGAACAAACTCAATTAAGTTATCATAGCCATTGGTCCCAAAACCAAGCTTTGTATGTGCACAAGCCATATTCTGTTGTAACTTTAAATGGAACCATGATTCATAAATTATATTGACAAAGTAACCCGAACATGGTGCTTCTCAGATTTATGCCATTCTTGACGGCTGGCCTTTCTCGCTGAAAAGGCTCTAATAATAATAGTGGCAGATTATTGTGATATGTCTTATGGGTGAAGTGAACCAGTATGCGAGTCTATTGGTAGATTCTTAGCTGGCCATGACAAACTTCTTCCATTGAGGTTGATGTTGGCATTTATTTAATTTCTATCATTGTTGTATATAAATAGGTTTTTCCCATGAAACCTGAACTTTCTATTTTGACACTTTGGCTTCTGATTTAAATTGGAAGAACTAAATAAATGCGGATGACCTACTCAGATGCTTTCATCAGGTTTATCTGAGACATTATTGTAGCAATCAATAATAGATAAATATGAAATGTGGATGAATCATGACATGATTAATCAAGCAAAAGGTGTAGGAGTTGAATCATAGCACAGGCAATTGTTGTTTTGCTTTAGTTTGTAGCATTTGAATAGGAATTGATGAATCTGAACATAAGGTTGTAATAGGTCTGAATAATCACAGTAGTTGATATTTCATGATTGTGGTTTGAAGGCTTTCTCGCCTTCATTATTAAAATATGTGCATCTTAAGCTAAAAGGTGTATGATGTGATTATTATATGGAATTCAATTATTAGAGTATTTGTTTTGTTGAAAAAGTATCTTAATTAAAAGATGTTCTTCTTATTTAGTGAGTCTTTGTCCTCTGAAAGCAATTCATTTTAACATTTTTCACATACTTTATGCACTCGGAGGTATCTGATGTAATCATCAAACTAAATAGTTTTTCACCTTTATAATTATGGTTATTGCAGCTGCAACACATGCAAGCCTATGGGAGCCATAGATGCACCATTTGAGGTTTGCTTCCTTCATATATAGCTATTGTATTTTCCAAACCAGCAATTGCTGGCACAGTAAATTTTTCCTAAACAGATTTTCACTATTACTAGTCAATTGACTGCTCATTAAAAATTTCAGAAATCCACTAATGGCCAGAGTAAGGTCAGCAGAATCAGATACGCTGATTCTTCTATTTGTCAACTGCTGCCTGTACTGAAACAACCCAGCTGGGAACAGATATTTGAATTGGAAACAGAAGCAAATAACCAAGGTCTGCATCACTTCTGCTTAATATTGTGTTCATAGGCTTGCAGAAATATTAATTTTTAATTTTAACTTTTTCCCAGATAGAAGATTAGCCAGTGTTCAGCTTCAAGTGGTAGAGTGCAGTGATGATGTGCGATTTAAGTGGTAGGTTCTTATTATTTTTCCCTTTTGGAGATGCTAAACAAAGAATCCCATCAGCTTTACATAATTACGTGTTAGTCCTCTAATATCTAGTTGCTTACAAATTCTCCAAGTAATCCTAGAGCAAGTTTGGCTGTTTTGACTATCAAATGAATGTTTTCTTTATTCTTAGTTTTCTTCACTAATCAGTTTCTGCAGTGTCATATGTTCCCCCCTGATTTCTTTCTTTCTCTCTTTCTTTCTTTCTTTCTTTATTTTATTTTATTTTATTTTTTAACTATGAGTTTGGTCTTACCACATAACTATTTAAGCTTGACTCTGTGAGTACGCTCTAATGCTACAATTGGGTTCCTCTGACAGTAACTACTGCAGAACATCAATTGTCGACTTACACAGAAGCTGCTCAAAATGTTGTTACAAGCTGTGCCTGAGTTGTTGCCGAGAAATTCGTGAGGAAAGCCTGGCTGAAGGGGCTAAGAT